CTGTACCGAGGGTTCAAACTGGCCACATCCAGGTGACTCCTTTTGCAGGTTATAAGTTTGGCATGGCAGGGCTACTGGTAGTTGGGAGGATGGGACTAGTGGAGATTTGTGGGAGGGAAGTGCCAGTCAGGTGAGGGGACAGGGAAATGGACCCTGCCTAAGCCCACAACTAGGTCTCTGGCAATCCATGAGTTCATCTTCAGGAGCCCTCCAAGAAAGTCTGCACCAAGGCCCCAGACAACTGACTCCTTGCAGAATGTGGACTCAGCAGGGTGAGGTAATGGAGAGTTGGGAGGGTGGGGCCAGTGCATGCCTTTAGGCTGATGTCAGATGGAGTGGAGAGCTTGACCTAGGAGAGATGGTGTCTGTGGTGTGGGAGAGGAGTTCAGCACAGGCACCCTGGTTGCTGTCCCTTCACCTCTTTCCCCAGAGCTACACAACCTAGTCTTACTTCAGACACTCTAGTCTGCTCTGTTCTCCCCCTGACCAAGCCCAGGATGAGTGGCCACAAATGAGATTTTGTGTGCTAGTTTTTTAAGAGGGTGCCTGTGTTCCTGCAGGCTGCTGTCTACATGGAAGACAGAATCCCCACTGATTTTCACAGCCAGATGTTATGTGGGCTCCTCTTTATGGCTCTGGTGCTCCTGACTGGGGAGTTTGGTGTGGGGTTGAGACCTCACATTTCTCAGGGGGTCCTTTGAAGCTAAAATATTCCTCTGAATTCTCAGCTGCCGCCCATGGGTGCAGGGCCAGCCCTTTTCATGTCTATGCTCTTCCTACCAGCCCGCGTGGCTTCTTCTGTAAATCTTTGGTTATAAGACTTCTATTAAGCTAACCTTAGTTGGTTATTCAGGTTGGTTGGTCTTTAATTTAGTTGTAATTCCAATTTGGACCTGGGAGGAGAGTGTAACTCTCATCTACTCCACCACTATCTTGGATCTGAACATTCTTGTAAATGCCTTTCGGTATACATATACATATATGCACATTTCTGCCCGGAATTACTGAATCATAAGATGTGCATATTTAGTTTTGGTAGATAATTTTGGTAGATAAGTGATGTAGATTCAAAAATCCTAAATAAAATATTAGCAAACTGAGTGTAGCAATATGTGTATGTCTATGTGTACATTCTCACCAACAGTACACAAGGGTTCTCTTTTCTCTATACCCCCACCAGTACTTGTTTTCTTACCTTTTGGTAGTAGCCATTCTAACTTGTGGGTGTAATTTGCATTTTCCTGATGATTAGTGATGTTGATCACTTTTTCATTTACCCATTGGACATCTATATGTCTTTGAAAAAGTGGCTATTCATATTTTCTGCTCATTTTTTCATAGGGTTTTTTTGTTTTTGTTTTTTGCTCTTGAGTTGTATGCGTTCTTTATATATTTTGGATATTAACTTCTTATCAGATATATGAGTTGCAAATAATTTCTCCTAGTCAGTGGTTTGCATTTTTATTTTGCTGATGGCTTCTTTTGCTGTGGAGAAGCTTTTTAATTTAATGTATTCCTACTTATTTGTTTTTGCTTTTGTTGCCTTTGCTTTTTGAGTCAAATCCAAAAATTATTGCCAACAACAATGTTAAGGAGTTTACTGCCTATGTTTTTTCTTCTAGGAATTACCTGGTTTCAAGTCTTATGTTTAAGTCTTTAAGTCTTTGATCCATTTTGAGTTAATTTTTGTGTATGCTATAAAATAGTGGTCTAGTTTTTATTCTTTTGCCTGTTACTGTGCAGTTTTCCCAACACCTTTTTTTTGAAGAGGCTGTTCTTTCCCCATTGTATTGGGTGATATCATGCAGCTCATTTCAGAATTAGGACAAGAAGTAAAATAAGTTTCATAATATATTTTTACTTTTCCTGTAGTTTTCAGAAATTCATTTAGTTTTAGTGTTCAAGTCATTGATTTTCAAATTGTCAGGCCTTTTTAGGGGATGTGTGAAAGACTTTTTTTTTGTTTTACAAAGAGACATTTCTTTTTCTATATATGCAAATTCTATAATAAATGACCATCTCAATTAGGAAGAACTTTGGATAAGTGAAAAACACTTTTTGCAGTCCTTTGCTGTTATTATTGTGAACTTCTGGGCTTTGTTTATGTTTTCTCTATTGATTATTGGCTTAGCTATTTTGTCACCTGAAATTTCTTTTGTATGACTAGCCCATTAAATATACTGTTAATAATTTCATATTATGAGAACTTATTGTACAGCTACAGGAATTGTCTCCCCTTTTTGTATTTAGTCTCTGTTTGGTACAACATGAATGGGGTTTGCCAAGAAATAACAGTGATATTAGAGTTTATGAATTCTTATAATTCGTCATGACCATATAATTTGCCATGATGAAAGGGAAAGCAGTGTTGCATAGTGTTTAAGAATGCAAACTTTAAATACCAGTTACCTCTAACATCCTCCTGATGTTAGGGAAAATTGCTGAACTCTCAGTGTCTTCTATTTGTAAAGTGGGTTTGTTAATAGTGTCTATCTCCTATGGTTGATGTGAAGATTGAATAACATAATACATGTAAAGCATGTATAGTAAGCATAATGAGGAAGAATATTGATATGATTAATAATGAAACGAGTCATTTGAGACCCAAAGAATATTGAAAAAGGCAGCATCCTTTACCTTTTCCCTGCAGAATCCCAGACCTATGAATTTTCTTTGACTAGGTTTGTTTAGTATTAGGTTGGCCAAAAAGTTCATTTGATTTGAAACAATTTTGTTAGATTGTATTGTGACAGCTGTCCTATCAGCATCCATTAAAAAAAACTTATTAAAATCAGTGCATTTTTGTGTAGCCATTTTAATATTGAAGATGGAAGAAAATATGCAACATTTGACATACTATGCTAAATTATTTCAAGAAAGATAAAAATGTAACTGAAACACAAAAAAGTGATTTGTGCAGTGTATGGAGAAGGTGCTGTGACTGATCGAATGTGTCAGAAGTGGTTTGCAAAGTTACATGCTGGTGATTTCTCACTGGATGATGCTCCATGGTCAGGTAGACCAGTTGAAGTTGATAGCCAGATGCTTAGTTTTCCAGCTCTGTCATTCCATCTGTAGTTAATAGTTGGAATTCTAGAAGAAATGCTTCCTGTTCTCCTTTATTTATGTATTTATTTCAGAATTTCACATATTTTTATTATATTGTATAGATTATATGTTATGTTACTATGAGTTTCATACATGAATTTTTCCAGTTTAAGCCCAAGACAGTCCCTTCAACTGGTGTCTTAGACTTTTTGATATTTCTCTGACATGTTCCTTTAAGCAGTTTTTTACTTTCTAGAACAAGATGTTCTGACTCATTTTGTATTTTTCTAGCCCCACTCCTGGATCTAGCATGTCTCAAAGGGAACCTATTCTTTTTAATGGATAATGGTTTTCAAAAGCAATGATCTTGGTACTAAGTGTGTTTTTTCTGTATATTTATTATGTTTGTAGTTTTTAGAGCATTTTGAATTCACAGCTTAATGTTTTCTGTGAGTTTGGGAAAATTATTGGCCATTATCTCTTTAAACATGGCTTCTGCCCTGTTCTATCTCCAGTTAGTCATATACCTTTTTACTGTATCCCATGTGTCTTTCATACTTATTTCCATATTTTTCATCCTTTTTTTCTTTCTGTGCTTTAATTCTGTTGATCTGTAATTCTTCTGTTGTTTTAACCTTGTGTTAAACCATCTATTAAAATTTTAACATCAGTTATTATGATTTTCAGTTCTAGAGTTTTAATTTGACTGATTTTTAAAATAGTTTACACTTGTATGGTGAAATTCTTATGTGTTTTTGAACATATTAATCAATTATTTTAAAATCTGTGTCTGGTAAATTACAGTATGTGGGTGTCACTTGGGTAACTAGTTCTGTAGTGTTTCTTTGCCCCCACTCCAATTGTGTGGCATTTTTTTTCTCTAGGAAAGCAGTTTGATTATCTGTTTATGAAGTTATAAAAGTGTTAGTAGTCTTAGATTCTCTGAAATATAATTACTTTATCTGTATACATTAGTCAATTTTTGCTGAATTTTGTTGTAACAAACAATATGTGAGCCTCAGTGGGTCACAATAAATAGCAAAGGCTTATTTCTTGCTCACGTTACATTTGGTTCCTGGATAACAGCAGTTATGTTCCATGGTTACTATGTTCCATGTGTGTTAGTTCATTCTGGGATTCCCAGTCATGGATGTGGTCTCATGGACCATGTGATGTGTACCAAAAGTCTTCTCCATTGAAGTTCATGTCTCTCCCATTTATAATCTGTTTGCCAGTACAATTCATGTGGCCAAAGCTGCAGTTAACCCAGTGAGGAAGTGTATGTGCTACTTCCACAGGGAGGCATTACAGGTTAAATGGGAGAAGAGGGGAAAGGAGTGAATAATTGGGAACAATAATACAATTTATCTCACTATCCTAAAGAAAATAACTGCTGCATTTAAACATAGCCATATGTGCATGGAGATATTAGTGCAGAATTATTAATAATGATAAAAATTACAAATAGTAGTAATAAGGAACTTTATTGTATGTGCAGTGTTATACAGTTATTAAAATGACCATTATAATACCTGCCAACATAGGAATATGAACTTAATATAATGTTAAGTGAAAGAGCAATGTACGAGTATAGTACCCTATGAGTATACCTAAGTACACATAATCATAAATCTTTTAAAAATTGAAAACATGAAAACAATTTTATCTTAGGATGATGAACTTTTGAGTAATTTTTTTATTTTTAAACTTAAACTTTTTATAGTGTTATTTTTTAATAATTAAAATAGTTTTATTTTCTGAAGGGTTATTTTTCGTTATAAAAGTCATATACATTTACTAGAGTAGTGTTGGAAATATAGGTACAGAAAAAATTATTTAAAACCACCCTGGACCTTTCTTCCCAAACCACCACAGTAACTATTTCAGGTTTAAAAAATTAGTATGCTAAACAAATTTCCGTATTAACTTTATGTTGTCATGTTTCCTTTCAGGTCCTGAAAACCCTTGGTTGGTCCAAGCTTATGTTTCAGCAGCTAAACACCCTTTTGCTTCTGTGGTGGCTCAGGAGGTTTTTCAGAGTGGCATCATTCCTTCAGATACTGACTTCCGTATCTATAGGGATTTTGGGAACATTCCAGGTATTTTGTCTGTTATTATGGGCTATGCTTACTTAATAGCAAGTTTTACATTTTGGAAGTTTGTCAGTAGATAGTATTTTTCTGAGAGAAATTTCTCTGTGGAAGAGCTGTATCCTGACTCACTGAAACTAAGTTCCTGGTATTTTACTTTTTAAAAAAACCTGTAGTTTAAATGCTTGCCTTTTCTATAACATGTCATCTTGCCCCACAGTATGACAGGAGAACAGGAGAACTTTTGCAGTTCATTCTTAAGAGATGGTAACAGATTGTTCATGGGTCTTTGACTTCATTTTTATTTTGCTTTGCCACCACCCTTGGTGACTTGTACAGCTTATTTGAATTTAAAATCTGGCTTTGGCTTGGCAAGTACATAGATGGCAAAGTTTTGATCACCTCCTAAGCTCGATTTTCCTACTCCTTGCTGTGTGACTTATAATGCCTCCCTGTGCAGTACTATACTTTCTCACTCATTATGTACTGAATTACGTATCCAGCTAGAGATTCTGTGAAAATTGGAAGAGAATTTCATCCATAAATGTGACAAAGCAACCATGCCAGTGCTTTGACATTTTGTCTTTTAGGAATTTAAAACATTAAACAAATAGACCTAAAACAAGTTTGATCTTGAAAGCAAAATGACTTTTTTTGTGTATGTTTTAGGAATAGACTTAGCTTTTATTGAGAATGGATACATTTATCACACCAAGTATGACACAGCGGACAGAATTCTAACAGATTCCATTCAGAGAGCAGGTTGGTATTCTAATTTGGACTTTTCATATCTGATAAGATGGAACATTAGGGATGACCTATAAACCTATAAATATTTTGTGGCTTGAGCATTAGGGAGGTAGTGTATGGTGTGAATGAGCTGAGGCTTTGGAGTTAAAGATATGAGGGCTTCAGGTTTAGCCTTGAAGTCTAGCTTAGCAGTTAAGAGCATAGGACTATTCACTGTGGGTAATTGAAAAGGGAGTTGACCAGGGTTATGGTAACACTGCTGACCAATGAGAGTGTAGCCAAAATGGAAGCTATACATTGGAGGTGGCACCAACACATTAAGGCAGCTTGCCCAGGTGTAGAAAAGTTACAGTGATCCAAGGTTGGGTGCTAAGGGCAGGTGAAAGGGTTATAGGACAGGTATCAGGACAACACAGGGGCAAGGGAATTAAAGTGCTTTCCAGAGAGATGTGGAGTAATCAGGAGAGGCAAGTCTGATGCTGAACCTTAAAGAGTTGGTGGGATTTGGCCCAGTGGAGAGTATGTTCCCAGAGCACAGCACAGGTAGGATGTGTTTGTGTGCATGGGGGGCGCTGTTGGTGAGTAGTTTGTGAGGCTACAATCTAATGGAAGTTGTATTTTCAGAAATAGAGGGAAATGAGGTAGAAGTGTAGGGGTAGAGAAAATTGTAGAGGGCTTTTAAAATCCGCAGGAAGATGCTGTAAAAATAAGGGATCATTAAAGGCCTGAGTACGTGAGCAAATGATGGCTTTAAATGCTTTTATTCTCGTGACACTAGTTGGAGTGGATGGTGGAGAGTCAGGGGAGCCATACGTCAGCTAACTTAAGCCAGGAGACAATAATTTAAGTATGGAATAGACCTAGACTGTGGTGTTGACAAAAGATAGAAAGGAAGGGGAGGGATGGAAAATTTGGTACATTTTGAATGTAAATTCCACAAGACTTGACAAGTTAGACAGAAGGGATGAATCAGACAGATGACAGCACAGGTGATTGCAAAGTAGAAAGCCTGGCTGGCTAGAAAAAGATGATGCCATGGCCTGTGATCGGGATGTGAGAAGGTGATCCTCACCCAGAGCAGCAACAGGGAGGGGAAGGAGACCTGGAACTCTGTCAGACATGTAAGATGGAGGGGGGCTGTGAACCAACCAAATGGAAATATAGGTACAGTTTTAGAGCTCTTGGCAAAACTTGGTATATGGGTTTAGGAATGAAAGGCATAGAGGCTACCCCAAAAAGTTTAGAGAATGGAAATGCTTTTTGGAAGAGCAAAATTAAGGCAAAGGACTAAACCTGAGCTTTTGGGAAAACATTCTTAGACAGAGAAGCCAGTGAAAGACAGTGTGGTGTCTTAAGTGAAAAGAAGAGAAAGTCAAGGATGGGATGAGCAACAGGAAGAAAGGCCAATCATTCAAAACTTTTTATGGCTCCTATGTTAAAGCTCAAATTCATTCATTCATCGATACAACAAATATTCATTATAGACCTCTGTGTATGAGGTTCTGCCTGATAATGACTTTTCCCATCCTTGCTGAATAATCTCTCTCCTCATTCATAACTTATTTAAAAAAATATTTTATTTATTTATTTGTAGAGAAAGGGGAAGGGAAGGAGAGAGGGAGAGAGACATAGATGTGTGAGAGAATTATCAGCTGGTTGCCTCTTGCACACCCCCAAATACAGAGTAAATGAATAGGCACTAGGAAACAGCCATTGAGTTTCTTATCAGAGTACAACTGAGCAGAGACCAGTTCTAATAGATGGGAAAGATGAAGGCCAGTTGGCTGAGTTTCTAAGTGGAGAGGAAATGGAGTAGGAGTTTGGAGCTTATCTGAAAAATTTAGTAAGAACAGAAAACTGTTCTTGTTCTTACTCTTTTTAGGTATTCCTTTATTTAGACACTGGATAGTTTATTCAACTTTATCTTTTCTTTTTTTCTTTACTAATAGGTGACAACATTTTAGCAGTTCTTAAATATCTAGCTACATCTGATATGTTGGTTTCTTCTTCTAAGTATCGACATGGGAACATGGTCTTCTTTGATGTGCTCGGCCTATTTGTCATTGCCTACCCCTCTCGTGTTGGCTCTATAATCAACTCCATGGTGGTAATGGCTGCTGTTTTGTACCTGGGCAAAAAATTGTTGCAGCCCAAACATAAGAGTAAGTATTTTCCTCAAAACTGTAGTACTGGTATGGTATATAGAATTTACCTAAAAATTTTTAGTCAATTTGTTTATATCTTTCCAAGAAGTTAAAAATCCTCAGAAAAATATTTGACTTATATAGTAAGAAATTTCTAAATGAATATCAGATTAATATGCTCATTATACTTTTAGTCTTAGAGAAGCAGGGAATTTTACATACTTATGTACTCCATAGAAGTACCACATAGGAGCTATTAGAAAATGGTTTGCACAGATTAACTTTTAGTGAAAAGCCCCATTAAAACATCTTGTCTATACTACAGACAAATAGCACACTGTTCTGATAAATTAACTCCTAGTGAAATTGTTCCCCTTTTGCTTGAAATGTTTTATAGTCTAAGCTGGTATGTGCTGTTACTAGATAAAATATTCAGTAGCTAATTTAAATAATCCTTTAACAGCAGTCCTTTTCCTGTGCTCCTTCTTTTCCTGGGATAGCTTCTTTTTGCAAGATTATATGTGGTAGTTTGTTTTCCATTCTTGCTGATATTTTGATACACAAAACATCCCAAAGGTGATGAAGATTAAGACTATGCACTTTCCCAGTCAAGAATATATCTGGACTACTCCTGGAAGACTTAGCTCTTTGAGTCTTTAGTCCTTGAGTCCAGAGACTCTCAGTAAATGTTACTTGAATATTATTCATTGATACCTTACGTATTCCAGTATTTAACAAACCTTATCCCTGGGGCACTTCAATACTTTTTCAGTTACAGTGGTAAATTTCCTGTTTTAATGTTTGTCCCCTTAACTCTACTAATTGGTTATGAAATTGTTTAATAAAGATGGTGGTCTCTATGTTGTGTTTTCTCTCTATTAGCAGCTAACTACATGAAGGACTTCTTCTGTGGACTTGGCATCACTCTGATAAGCTGGTTCACTAGCCTTGTCACAGTTCTCATTATAGCAGTGTTCATCTCTCTGATTGGACAGTCTCTCTCATGGTATAACCACTTCTATGTCTCCGTTTGTCTTTATGGAACTGCTGCTACAGCCAAAATAATATTCATACATACTCTCGCAAAAAGATTTTATTATGTGGTAAGTGTTAGGCGTATTTGTTGATTTCTTTATGTTTTCTTCAAGGATTGAAAACAAACTCAAGTGGGATTCATTGTAGAGTCATGTGCCACTTAACAGTGGGGTTACATTCTAAGAGATGTGTCATTAGGCGATTTCATCATTGTGCAGACATCATCCAGTGTACTTACACAAACCTAGATGGCATAGCCTACTACTGCAATTGTATGTGCTGCACTTTTATAGAATGGCTGTGCAGCATCACCACAATAGGAAAGCTTGTTAGCACAGCCTTGTGGCCTTGTCTGAATCTGCTGCAGTTTTTGTAACCATGCTCTTGAATCTGTCAGCCCTCCCTGAGCTCACCTAATAATTTATGTTTGAATAGCTCTGTTCTCCATTGGACTGTAGGCTCCATGAGGGCAGAGACTGCTTTGTTCATTATCCTTATGCTTAGGCAGTGTCTGATGCATAGCACTAACACACAGTAAGTATTTGCTGCCTGAAAGAATATTGCACCTAAAGCTGCACTTAAAAGTTTTCTCTTCAGTTTCCTTCACTTTTTTAATCCTTTATCTGGTTGCTGTAGAGTCTGACAGCATACATATGTGGTATGGGGATGAAAGACACATTACTAAGGAAAAAGGAGGGAAGAGACTAAAGTTCCAAAATTATTTATGCTGATTTAGGTATTATTGCCATATTGTTATGGTTTTAACTATTTACATTAATTTGGTAAGAATAAAATTGGAATTAGTGTTGAAATAATAGGACTAAAAATGAATTACTGTGAGACAGCGAGCCATGGTTTCTGATTTTCCTGAGTTAAAGGGAAGAATCTTTCTTAGCTCCATTATTTTAAAGATAGGCAGTATACACCTCTTTTTTCAGTATGCCCTGCTAGGGATTAGAAAGGAGGCATGGAAGACTAAAATCCAGTGTCCTTCTGCAAAGATATCTTTGGGACCTGAACTTTGGTCTCAGTTTTAGTTAGTGTTGGGATATAGTCTAAGGAAACTTTCCATGTTAGCAGGCCCTTTTGGAGAAGGTTTTTTGAGGTTAGCCATCCATTTATGGTTGAGGTAATGTTTGTATCTTAGTGGCTAAAGCTTCCAAAAGAATTATACCATGGGGCTCAATTTCACATGCTTATTCTTAATACAACAGTATATAACCAGAGTAGGGCTGACTGTTGTTGATATGGAGCAGGGGGTTGGGAGGAGAGGTGGAGACAGGAATTCTTAGTTCAGTACACATGCAACCATGGTAGGCTTAACTACATAGTACACATCAGCATTTACTTTGACTAATTTCAGTCATCCAATCATAAAGCTTTGGGTTGAAAGCACAATTAAAAGAGTAATATGTTTCATTTTCATATCACAAACATGCTTTCAGTACCAGGTTGGCCTGGTACCATGCTAAGGCCTGCTGGTACAGATTCATAAGGATGTGGCCATCTTTCTCTGAGGAGCTTACAGTTTTATTTGGGAAAATGGGGAAGACACAGTGATTATAGTCTATTGGGGTGAAGTGAAATAGAGTGACATATTCACAGTGCTGTAGGAATACCGGGCCAGAAGAGATGAATTTTTGTTTGTGAGAGTCAGGAAGGCTTCACGAAGGAGGTGGTGACGTTCAAACTGGGTATTTGAAGCATGAGTAGAAGTGCACCAGGTAGTGAACAGGTTGATGGGAAGTCAAAGATGGGAATGTACAAGGTGTATTTGGGTCACAATCAATAAACAGTTCAGTCTGGTGAATACAAGGTTGATAACACAATAACTGTTCAGGGTGAAGTTGGAGCATGGCCCTAAAAATCAATGAGGCCGCCATTAAAATTTTCTAAGCAGGATAGTGAGTGAGACAATTGGTGATTTAGTAAGAAAACCACAATAATAGTGTATAGAATGCATTGGAATGGCCAGAGGTGGAAAAGATCAAGAGGTGGGAAGGAGGAAAATGATTTGAGGGGTGTTTGTGTGATCTTCAGGTACAATTTGGGAACTTAATATAAAACATTTTCAGTTATTACAGTTATTAAAGATTTCATTGCTGAGATCTTTGTTTTAGTATCTGCATGACATTCAGCTTCAAATTGAGTCCTAAGAATTATTTTTCTCTTAAAAACTGTGCCTCCTGCTCACCACTCTGCTGGACATCTGAGTACTTAAGTGAAATAGAGTGATAGCCTATCTTTCATTGTCCAAGGAGTAGGGAGGTTGTCAAATGAACTTGGACTTGTTTTGAAAATGTATGACTGAAACTCTTCTGAGCTTTTGAAGTGGGGTGTCTTAAAACAAACACGCCCCAGGCTATACACAGAGGTGAGAAGGTATAGAAGAGAAAAACTTAAGTGTATCTATTCCATTTTGGTATTTCTTCACTGAAACTCTTTCATGTTTATATTAATAGACCCACTAGTGCAGATATTAAAATATCTTAAGTTCATATGGCAGCTTTCTTCTGAAGAACTCAAGCTGCTGCATAGGAATGCTCAGACTTCAGAGCTCAAAAAATATTGATCAAAGTTTATAAAGTGAGAGCACCAGGAATTCAGGACAAGGACAGAGTTGCACTACAACAGTGATTTTCGACCTCTTTCATCTCATGGCACACATAAGCTAATTACTAAAATTCTGCAGCACACCCAAAATATACTTTTTGCAAATCTGACAAAAAATAGGTATAATTGAGTCATTCACACCAGATACCTATTGTTGTGTAGGCTGTTGTCATTTTTTTATTTGACAGTCTAAGGGAAAAGAGGTCACTGCCTCTGACTAAATAGTCAGTATTGCATGTTTTAAAAATTTGTGCAGCACAGCAATTGAAAATTGCCAGACAGAAATAGAAAAGACAAGAATCCAGCAAAATAGGACTTCCGGCCAAGATGGAGGTGTAGACAGACACACTGTGCCTCCTCACACAACCAAAATAAGGACAACAACAATTTAGAATGAAAAACAATCAGTACTGACAGGAAACTGAACTGTATGGAAGTACAACAACCAAGGAGTTAAAGTAGACACGTTCATCCAGACCTGTAGGAGGAGCAGAGTCAGGTGGCCAGGCGGAGAGGGGTTGCAGCAAAAAAAGTGGTGGCTGGCAGACCCTGGCCCACAAGGCAGCAGCGGGCAGACCCAGTGAGGTGGCAGATTGTGGAGGGGTTAGGCATGGCTGGCAGACCGGGCAGCCCCACTTTCGTGCGCAGATAAACCAGGAGAAACTGAGGAGTGAGACAGACCGTGCAACCCAGGGTTCCAGCTTAGGGAAATAAAGCCTAAAAACATCAGTTGAAAACACCTGTGGGGGTTGAGGTTCCCAGGATAAACTCCCAGCCTCACAGGAGAGTTCCTTGGAGAGAACCACAGGGTCCTAGAACACACACACACACACACACACACACACACACACACACACACACACCCCACACACACACCCCCCGAGAAATCAGCACCAGAAGGGCCCAGTTTGCTTTGAGAGGGGAAGTGAGGGGGCTGTGACTGAAAACCGTCTGAGAGCAGAGCAAGTGCCATTGTTTCCTCTTGGACCCCGCCCCCACATACAGCGTCACAACCAGAGACTGGGTTGCCCTGTTCAGGCAAACACCTAAAACTCCTCCCCTCGCTGTGTAACAGTCGCATCAAGACCAAAAAAAAAAAAAAAATGGCCAAACAAAAGAACAGATCAAAGCTCAAGAACAAGTACAACTAACCAACAAAGAGAAAGCCAACCTATCAGATGCCCAGTTCAAAACACTGGTAATCAGGATGCTCAGGGAATTGGTTGAATTTGGTCGCAAATTAGATGAAAAAATGAAGGCTACGCTAAGTGAAATAAAGGAAAATGGACAGAGAACCAATAGTGATGGGAAGGAAACTGGGACTCAAATCAATGGAGTGGACCAGGAGGAAGAAAGAAACATGCAATCAGAAAAGAATGAAGAAACAAGAATTCAAAAAAATGAGGAGAGGCTTAGGAACCTCCAGGACATCTTTAAACACTCCAACATCTGAATTATAGGGGTACCAGAAGGAGAAGAGGAAGAGCAACAAGTGGAAAAGCTATTTGAACAAATAATAAAGGTGAACTTCCCCAATGTGGTGAAGGAAATAGACTTCCAGGAAGTCCAGGAAGCTCAGAGAGTCCCAAAGAACTTGGACTCAAGGAGGAACACACCACAACACATCATAATTACATTAGCCAAGATCAAAATGAAGGAGAGAATCCTAGAAGCAGCAAGAAATAATGAGACAGTCTCCTACAAAGGAGTTCCCATCAGACTATCAGCTGATTTCTCAAAAGAGACCTTGCAGGCAAGAAGGGGCTGGCAAGAAGTATTCCAAATCATGAAAGGCAAGGACCTACATCCAAGATTGCTCTATCCAGCAAAGCTTTCATTTAGAATGGAAGGGCAGATACAGTGCTTCTTAGATAAGGTCAAGTTAAAGGAGTTCATCATCACTAAGCTTTTATTACATGAAATGTTAAAAGGATTTATCTAAAAAAAGATAAAAATATGAACAGTAAAATGACAGCAAACTCATAATTATTAACAACCACACCTAAAACAAAAACAAACTAAGCAAACAACTAGAACAGGAACAGAACCACAGAAATGGAGACCACGTGGAGGGTTAGCAACAGGGGAGTGGGAGGAGGAGAGAGGGGGAAAAGGTACAGAGAATAAGTAACATAGATGGCAGGTGGAAATAGACAGGGGGAGGGTAAGAATAGTATGGGAAATGTAGAAGCTCAAGAACTTATGACACATGGACATGAACTAAGGGGGGAATGTGGGTGGGAGGGGGTGAACAGAGTGGAGGGGAGTGAAGGGAAATGGGACAACTGTAATAGCATAATCAATAAAATATATTTTAAAAAAATTAAAAAAAAAGATTGTTAGCTAATTAAAAAAAGAATCTAGCAAAATTGCAGGTGGCCATTTTCTTTAAAGATGCTGTAGTTTTCCAGGTGTGCTGTAGGTGGCACTGGTGCAGTTTATACCTTCATCCCTCAGTATCCTCCGGGGAGTGTCCTCTGGACCCCCTTGGACTCCCAAATCCTCAGATAATGGCATAGTATTTCACATAACCTAAGCACATTCTCTTCTATACTTTAAATCATCTCTACATTATTTATGATGTCTAGGACAATACAAATGCTGTGTAAATAGTTGCTCTACTGTATTGTTTAGGAAATAATGACAAGGGAAAAAAATCAGTGCATGTTCAGTTCACAACAAAGTAATATTAAACACTATTTTTTGTATCTGTGGTTGGTTGAATCCACTCAATGCAGTGCCTGCAGATACGGAGGGTTGACTGTGCTGTCCTTCACAGGTCATATCTCTAGTTTGCCTGAAATTCTTTGGAAGTTGTGTAAACAGGCAACCTCACAGAGGTGACTTTTTTTGAGACTCCTTTTTTCTAATTTTCAATTTTAATTTTAATTTTTTAATTTTAATTGTTCAAGTACAGTTTTCTACCTTTAACCCCAGCCCACCCCCCCAGCCCTCTCCACCTCCTCCCTTTTCTACACCCTCTTATTATTATCCATGTATCCTTTATACTTGTTCCTGCAAACCCTTCCCCTTTTCCCTGGAAATTCCCTCCCCTCTTCCCTCTGGCCACTGTCAGCCTGTTCTCAATTTCATTGTCTTTGGTTATATTTTGCTTGTTTGTTTGTTTTGTTGATTAGGTTCCTGTTAAAGGTGAGATCATATGGTATTTGTCTGTCACCACCTGGCTTATTTCACTTAACGTAATGCTGTCTAGTTCCATCCATGCTGTCGCAAAGGGTAGGAGCTCCTTCTTTCTGCTGCTTAGAATTTCTTTTTTTATTTTATAACATTTCCAAAGTTTACTTACAGCCTAGCCTGGTGGAGGGAAAGCACAGATTATATACAAATAGTGATGTTTCTACCCTATCTTGTTAAATTCCCCTCCCCTGTGCAACAGTTTGAAACTACTTTATGACAGGACGTGGCTTTGTCTAAAAGATAGACCCTATTTAAAATGATGTGTAACTCCTTAGAGCAATAAAAATTATATTACAACAGAATATCATGAATGGCCCATGAATGAGACTACTTGTGTATTTTTTCTTTATTTCAGAATGCCAGTGACCAGTATCTGGGAGAATTGTTTTTTGACATCGCACTGTTTGTGCACTGTGGTTCTCTTATAGCTCTCACTTATCAAGGACTTTGCTCAGCATTTATTAGTGCTGTCTGGGTGGCATTTCCATTGCTCACAAAACTTTGTGTGGACAAGGACTTCAAGCAGCATGGTAGGGTATTTTTGGTTTTGATATATATGGGAAAAGACCTTAAAATACATAAGATAAGACTTCCAGGGGCTATTTTTTAAAAATCTTTTTAAGGAAGGCTGTCTAAATTGTTTTTTAAAAAATTTTTTCAGATTATGCAGATTTTTCTCTTATACAGTATATATACCCTATCTCATTTTCATGTTTATGAACACATGCTAATATATTATTTATGTACTTTGTTTGGTTCTTCTTTGTACTTTAGCCCCTCTGAGTGTTCTATCTCACAAGATAACATGTACCAAAAGGGCAAGAGTCACATCTAACCTAATTTGTTAGGTGCCAAGGTACGCCAGTACTATAAAAATCTGTATCTCGTTGTAAAATTTTAGAGATTTGTGTTTTCTTTCTCTTTTTCCTAGGTGCCCGAGGAAAATTTATTGCCTTTTATCTTCTGGGGATGTTTATCCCTTACCTTTATTCATTGTACCTCATCTGGGCAGTATTTGAGATGTTTACCCCTATCCTTGGGAGGAGTGGTTCGGAAATTCCACCTGATGTTGTGCTGGCTTCCATTTTGGCTGGTTGTACGATGATTCTCTCCTCTTATTTTGTAAGAAAAAATTTTTTTTCATTTTCTTCTTTATTTTTTTATAAATATTTGACCAGTTTGCACAATGATGGAATCGCCTAATGACACATCTCTTAGAATGTAACCCCACTGTTAAGTGGGACATGACTGTACAATGAATCCCACTTGAGTTTGTTTTCAATCCTTGAAGGCAGCAAAAAGAAATCAACAAATACACGTAACACCACGTAATAAAATCTTTTTGTGAGGGTATGTATGAAACTGTTGCTTATAATGAGAAATTTTTTTAAAGATTTCATTTATTTTTTTAGTGAGGGGAAGGGAGGGAGAAAGAGAGGTGGAGAAACATCGATGTGCAAGAGAAACATTGATTGGTCGCCTTTCTCATGCCCCAAACTGGGGACCTGGCCCGAAACCTAGGGATGTGTCTGGGAATCAAACCAGCGACCCTTTGATTTGCAGGCCAGCACTCAATCCACTGAGCTACAGCATCTAGGGTAATATAATGAGAAATTCTTAGGTAAAAGAAATAGTGAGTAGCTATATAGTTTGTGGGTTTGATATGGTAAGAAAATGTAGAATGGGGTTTTTAATTCAGTGATTTCATGGTTTGTCAAAGTGGCTCCTTCAGAACCCCTGAAGGATTTTACCTGTGCATGCCCCCTACAACTTTTAATTTAGTGATTTCATTATAATTAATAAACATATTTAGGATTTTCTGGTTGCCTGCCTTGAGACTGAGACGCTTTTCCTGCACAAGTTCAGATTTGTTGTTTTAATTGTGTTGGCTTTGGTGAACTCAGCATTGAAGGGGAGGGACAGTACTACTTTGTATTGCCATTTTTCCTCATATGCAGGAACTCAGGCAAAGTCTTGAAAGTACATCTAACTGCTAGATTAGATGAATCCAAAATCTTGGCACAGTATAAAAAAACATTATGAGTGAAATTTGAGTTTTATTGAAACAGGCCATCTTATGCTTAAAAGCTTACCTCTGTTTCTTTAATAGAAGCCTGATGTCATGATTTTGGGAGTTAAATAGTCTGCTGTGCAGTGTTAACAGCTCATTGGCAGAATAGGAAAGAAGGTCATGGTTTGGTGATGGATCTACATCCCCCAGTTTCTTTGCCAACTGAGCAAAGACACTGTTTCAGTTTCTTTTTTCCCTATTGCTGTTTGGCCACCTGTCAAAAAGACACCATCATGGCAGATGTGGGCATTTCTCATTTATCTAGGTTCCAACTTGTGATGGAAATCTCTTATAATTAGTACTGTGTTTACTGGCTGTTGACACTTGCTAATTTTCTTCATCCTCTTAATACCTGTTAGAAAATAAAGTCAATTAAAGCCACCCTTCTGCCAATGGTAATGTTTCTATTTTTGTGTTTTGTGTTTTAGATTAACTTCATCTACCTTGCCAAAAGCACGAAAAAAACCATGCTAACTTTAACGTTGGTATGTACAATTACATTCTTCCTTGTGTGCAGTGGAACTTTTTTCCCATACAGCTCCAATCCTGCCAGTCCAAAACCAAAGAGAGTGTTTCTTCAGGTAAGAGCAGTTCTGCCTGAGCTATTTGAAATTCTGGAGAGGAAAGCTTTGTGTGCTTTGAGCTTCACTGGTCAACAGGAAAACCAGCTGACATGTCTATTTTGGCCTGTTTAGTTGTACTTGACCATTTTGCATATGACAATGAGGAAAGGAGTGACCGTCGAAGCATTCTTATCATCTGGACATACTTTGATCCAAGAGATCAAATTGGAAATACCAACTTGTTGTTTTCATTAGTGTTCAAATTGTAAAAATGCACCTACTGTGAAAACTGAGCAAATACATATCATGGAGTAATGAGCTTTTAGAAGTGCAGATTTTAAAAATGTCTGCAGGCCAATAAAAGTCTGAACTATCAACTGGCAAAATGAAATAGATATTTTAAAATACTAGTAAAATTGATCTTAGGTAATGCTTAAAGTACTATGTGACAATGAAAATAATCTAGAAAGGGTTTAATAAAATGAGATTTAGAACTTTCTTAGATTTCAAGTTTTTTCTGCAGACTTTTTAGAGCTCGTAGTATAAAACAGGAAAAAAAGACTAAATTGCTTTATTCCCAACCATCTTCTCTGTTAGAGGTTGTGGAGTGGCTCAACAGAGAAGCGAAGAGTCACAACCTAGGTAATTATTAAAGGGCTTGAATAAATAATAATATTTGAACTTAAACTTAAATATCAGAGCACATTTTGAAAAGTGCCTACTCTTCCTTCTTTGTATTCCTGGAGGACACAGTGATACATTAAAAAAAATTTCCACATGATGATATGTTTGTGATTTTAAAGAGTGAGGGTGGGGAAAGGAAAGGGGGAAGAGGGAGAGAGAAATAGAAAGAGAGAGAGAGAAACATTAATATGAGAGAGAAGTATCAGTTGGTTGCCTCCCATACCCACCCAAAGGATAGCACCCTCAACCTTTTGGTATATAGAACGATGCCCAACCAACTGAACCACCTGGCCAGGGCCCACAGTGATACATTTTATGTGACATTTTACATTTTGCAAAACCTTTGGCAAAGAACAGCTATTTTTCAGGAGATTTAATGTTTTCCATGACTTGCTAATTTAAAAAAAAATTAATTATGTTAACATACAATATTTTATTATTTCTGGTGTGCAACATAGTGTCTTCCTCATTTTTATAGTTGATTCCATCAATAGTGTTTAGGAAAAGCCAACTTTTTATTTTTAAAAACTCCTGTTTTGCCTAGCTTGTGTGGTTCAGTGGATTGAGTGCCGGCCTGTGAACTAAAGGGTCGCCAGTTTGATTCCCAGTCAGGGCACATGCCTGAGTTGTGGGCCAAGTCCCTGTTGGGGGGCATGTGAAAGGCAAACCACACATTGATGTTTCCCTCTCTTTCTCCTTCCCTTCACCTCTGTCTAAAAATAACTAAATGAAATCTTTAGAAAAACAAAACCAAACATACAAAAAACTCCTGTTCTTATGGGTTGTGGGGTTTGCTTCTTCCTCAGTGCCAGAAGTTGGTGAACTTTTCCTGTAAAGGGCCAGGTAATAAATATTTTAAGATCTTCCAGCCATATGATCTCTGTCACAGTTGCTGTTTTTATACAGTGAAAGCAGCCATAGACAATACCTAAGCAAATGAGCATGGCCATGTTCCTATAAAGCTTTATTTATACAACTGGTAGTGGGCCATTTGGCCTGTGGGCTATAGTTTACCCCTGCCCTCTGCAGTCCTTTTTCTTTTCCTCTTTGATATTCGTCAGACTGGTTTCTGTTGTTAATAAGGCCATTCCAGATGGAATATGGTGCCCTTTCATCTGGTAGGCACAAGTCTGTCATCTAGTGGTGACCTGTGTGTCTGTGTATATACTACTTGCTTTAAGTTCTCTTCTAAAAGTTTAGTGTTCGTGGTTCTTAAGATTTTTTTAATGAAATTTAAATATATAAGTATATTTTTAAATAATAAAACAATAAAATATATTTGTAAGAAATAATAAAACAAATAAATAAAACAGTCTATCATTGAGTTTAAGAGAACATTAGCAGTATGTAAGAAAATCCAAGTGTCCCTTCCTGATCCAGCTCTTTCTGTCCCTCTCCTCATCCCCCAAAGAAGTAATCGCCCACTATCTTGAAGTTTGGAGTTAATCATTGCCTTACTTTTCTTTACTTTACCCATATGTATAAATTGCTAAACAACAATCTGTAGTTTGCCTCTTTTGAACTCCTTTTAGGTAAAGCCACACCATAAATATCCTTTTGCCCAACAGTGTGAGAGTCTTGCATGTTGATTTGTGCCACTGTACTACATTTTTGTTCATTGCTGAGTAGACTTCTGTTGTAGGATGATGGTCCAATTGGTCTGCCCACTCTCCTGTTAACGGACATTTGGGTCGTTTCCAGTTTTTGCTAAGACGGACAATGTTGAATCAACACTCTTGTAGCTTGCAAAAGTTTTTCTAAGGTACATACTCCGGAGTGGGATTGCTGGCTTGAAGGGTATATACATGTTAACTTCATTAGGTAATGCTAAACAGCCTCCTAAAGTGCTTGTGCCATCACGCACCCCTGCCAGCAGTGTGCGAGGCTTCCTGTTGCTCCACAGCCACCTCATTTCTTGGTATTGTCAGGCTTATTCATTTTTGTTAGTCTGGGATGGGGATGTAGGTGAAGGAATTGAAACAGTAGTTTTCTCATTAGTTTTGTCCTTTTTAGCATGTGACAAGAACATTTCATGACTTGGATGGAAAAGTAGTTAAACGGGACTCTGGAATATGGATCAATGGATTTGATTACACTGGAATGTCTCACGTAACACCTCACATTCCGGAGATCAATGACACCATCCGAGCTCACTGTGAGGAGAACGCACCCCTCTGTGGCTTCCCGTGGTACCTTCCAGTGCACTTTCTGATCAGGTTGGTTCACTCCTTTTCTGCTTCAGTTGGGGGTTAGTTTGTTCTCAGGTCCTGTCACTGTGGCAGTACTTCGCTATTTAAACTGGTTAACACAAGTCAAGTGCCATTTATACTATTTTTTCCTATCACTGCAAAAGTTCTATTTCTTTAGTGGGATGAACCACTTAGAAGTATAGGTTTCATCTATTCAAATTTAGAAAGTTTTTCCTTTAGAAATCTCAGTAGTTAGAAAGGGTGGCCCCCTTAAATAATCAAATAGATAGCAGTTAAGCATCAAGTTCAAATTGCTTCATTTCTGGGAAATTTTTATCATTTGATAAAGATTAGATGAGAAGAAATAGATCGGTAGTAGAGTCAGGTTCAGCTAGGGTCCTTTATTCTTTGGGAAGGTTTTATCCTGCAATAACCTGGGCTTCAGAGGAATTAGAATAATTTATTATATCTGTCAGGAGTTTATTTCCATGCCCCCAAATGGGTTTCATATATTCTGAACACAAGCATCCTAAATATTACTGATGCATTGAATTCCTTTTTAAATAGGAAAAACTGGTATCTTCCTGCCTCAGAAGTTTCCCCAAGAGAACCTGTTCATTTCAGACTTGTATCCAAAGAACAGACCCACTGGGATTCTGTAAAGCTGACCTTTGAAGCCTCAGGTGAGTCATAGGACTGTTTTTGCTTCTTGCCTTTAGTTCTTAAAATTTTTAATAAGCATGTATGTTTTTTCCTCAAATTTACAATAGTGGCCAGCAGCTGAGTGTTTCCAAAAGCAAGCGCAGCTGATTATGATTTCTTAAAGGAAATTTAACAGACTTTATATTTAGAGCAGTTTTAGGTTCACAGAAAAATCGAGCAGGAAGTAGAGTTCCCCTCTCTCCCACTCTCACAGCTTTCCCTAGTATTAACGTCTTGTGTCAGTGTGGTACATTTCTTATAAATGCTGAACCAGTAGGGACACATTATTATTAACTAATGTCCTCATTTTACACTAAGGTCCAGTTTACTCTCTGTGTCGTACAGTTCTGTGGGTTTTGATGAAGGTGCCCACCGTTACAGTATCACACAGAGCAGGTTCACTGCCCTCAACGCCCCCGTCCTCCGCTTACTCACCCCTCTGTCCTCCCACTGCCCCTGGCAGCCCCTGGCAGCCCCTGATCGTTTTAATGCCTTCATTGTTTTGCCTTTTTCAGAATATCACACAGCTTGAAGCATTGAGTGTAGCCTCTTCAGATTGGCTTCTTTCATTTAGCAATGTGCATTTAAGGTACCTTCATGTCTTTTAGAGACTTGACAGCTCTTTTTTTTTATTGCTGAATAACATTATGAATGTACCACAGTTTATCCATTCACCTGCTGAAGAACGTGGTTGCTTCCAGTTTTTGACAGTTATGAATTAAGCTGCTATAAATATATTTGTGTGCAGGTTTTTGTGTAGATATAGGTTTTTCAACTTATTTGGTTAAATACCTAGGAGCACAATTGCTGGATGGTATGGTAAGCCTCTATTGACCTTTGTAAGAAACTGCCAAACTGCCTTCCAGAGTGGCTGCACCATCTTCCTTTCCTAGCAGCAGTGAGTGGGAGTTCTTGTTGCTCTACCTTCTCAACAGCTTTTGGTGCTTTTAGTGTTTCAGAGTTTAGCCATTTTGGGAGACGGGTAGTGCTATCTCATTTTTTTAATCTGCAATTCTGTAATGGCACACAATAGTTACCAACTTTACATATGCCTTCTGTATGCCTTCTTTGGTGAGATGTCCTGATCTTTTGTCTATTTATTAGTTGGGTGGTTTGTTTTCTTATTGTTGAAATTTAATAATTCTTTGTATATATGGATGTAAGTCCTTTATCAGATAGCTAAGTGATTTGCAAGTGTCTTCTCTCAGTCTGGCTTGTCCGTCCTTTCATTCTTTTAATAGTGTTCTTCACCGAACGTAACTTTTAAATTTAATGAAGTGGAATTTAAATCAGTTTTTATTTCATCAGTCATGCTTTTGGTGTTATATCTAAAAATCACTGCCAAACATAATGTCTCAAAACTTTGTCCAGTATTATCTTCTACAAGTTTTTTACTTTTATGTTTTACATTTAGGCCTACATTTTGAGTTACTTTTTGTGAAAGGTGTAAGGTCTGTGTCTAGATTCATTTCTTTTGCATGTGGATTTCCTGTTGTTCTAGTACTATTTGTTGGAGATGATCCTGTTACTATTGAATTACCTGTTTTTTTTGTGATGCCTCAGCTGATTATATTTGTGTGGGTCTGTATCTGGGCTCTATTCTGTTCTCTCATCTGTTTCTCTCTCCTCTTGCCTTTACTGCATTGCTTTGATTACTATAGCTGTGGAAGGTGGGTAGAATCTGTCCCCCATAACTTAATTTTTCTTCAGTATATTGTCTCGTCTCTCCATGTACCAGTTTGTTGATATCCACAAAATAACTTCAGGAATTTTGACTGGAATTGCACTGACTCCATAAAGTTGGGGTAAACAACATCTTTACAATTTGACTCTTCCTCTCCATGACACAGGATGTCTATTTATGTCTTGTTTGGTTTCCTTTATCAGAGTTATGTAGTTTTCCTAAGTAGTTTTACACCTAACTATTTCATTTTGGTGGGGGGGGGGTGCTAATGCAAATAGTGTTGTTGGCTGAGGGTGCATAAAAAAGGAACTGACTTTTGTGTATTAACCTTATACCTGACAACCCTGCTGTCATATTTATTAGTTCTAGTTTTTTATTTTAAAGATTTTATTTATTTTTAGAGAGACGGGAAGTGAGGGAGAAACAGAGGGAGAGAAATAGCAATGGGTGGTTGCTTCTCAGGTGGCTCCCACTGGGGACCCAGCCCACAACCCAGGCATGTGCCCTGACTGGGAATCGAACCAACGACCTTTTGGTTCACAGGTTGGCACTCAGCCCACTGAGCTATACCAGCCAGAGCTAGTTCTAGTTTTTTGTTGATTTTTTTGAATTTCCTACATACATGATCAAGTTGTCTGCAAAGTTTATATTTCCCTTCACAGTCTTTATACACTTTATTTCATTTTCTTGTCTTACTGCATTAACCAGGACTTCCAGTGTGATTTCGGAAAGGCGTCATAAGAAGGACATCTGCCTTGTTCCTGATTCAGTAAGAAAGCTTCTAGTTTCTTGCTGAATATGAAGTTAGCTGTAGATTTTCTGTAGATGTTTTTTATCAGCGTGAGGGAGTCCCCATCTATTTTAAGTTTGCTGAGAGTTTTTATTGAAATGCATGTTGGATTTTGTCAGATGCTTTTGTATCGATTAATATGATCATAGGATTTTTCTTCAGTCTGTTGATGTGATGGATTACATAAGTTTTCCATGTTGAACTACTAATTTTGCATAATGAATAAATCCCACTTGGTTGTAGCTTATAATTTTTTATGCATTGTTGGATTTAATTTGCTCATATGTTGAGAATTTTTGCATCTATATTCATGAGATATTCGTCTATAAGTTTTCTTGTAACATCTTCGTGTGGTTTGGTATTAGGGCAGTGCTGGCCTCGTAGAATTAGATAGGAAGTATTTTCTCTGCTCCTGTCTTCTGAGGATATTGCAGAGAATTGGTATAATTTCTTCTTTAAATGTTTGGTAGAATTCACCAGTGAACCCATGCAGGGCTGGGTTTTTTCCCCTGTTTTGGAAGGTCGTTAATTATTGATTCAGTTTTTTCCAAGGATTTTATTTATTTATTTTTAGAGAGAAGGGAAGATTCTGTGCACGTCGATAGATCCAGTTTGTGGTAGTGTTGTTTACTTTGGCTACCTCCTCACGGATCTTTGGCCTGCTGGGTTTGTCAGTTATTAGTAGAGGGTGGTTGAGGTCAGCTGTGACAGTGAATTTGCCTATTTCTCCTTTACTTTTATCACTTTTGGGCTCACCTATCTGTTGTTAGGTACATATCAATTATACACATTTGATATAATTTATATATCTTAGCATATCAATTAATACTTATTAAAATTATTTTTAGTGGCTGTCCTAGAGCTTGCAATAGTCCACTTTCAGATAACACTATACCTCTTCATGGGCAGTACAGATTATTCATTTGTTTAATTTATTTTTAGTGTGGAGACTTTGTAACACAGTATTCCTGTTCCCATGTCTTCCCACCCTGGGATTCTGTGAAGTTGACCTTTAAAGCAACAGTTAAGTCATAGGACAGTTTTCTTTCCCATCTTACACTTATTAAACTTCTAATAAATGCATGTCAGTTTTTCCATTTCAGATTTATTGTAGTGACCAACAATTTGATAGGAGATTGTAGTATTTATAAAAGAAATTGAGGCCAAATATGATTTTTAAGGGGCCTAATTGAAAACTTTCAGTGTCAGTTGCTGGTTCATTGTAGATCCATAGCAGCATTTGCTCTGGCATCAGACAGCATGATTTTGTTTACCTTTCTTGTTACATTTATGTTTAAAGCTAGTAGAACTTTTCAACTGGTGTTTGGACCTTTAAGTCATCTCTCTAATATTATCTTTCAAAAATAGACTTGATCGTGTCAGTTCCCTACTTAGAGAACTTTTACTGATTTCCTGTTGCCTGCAGAATAAGCCCAAACTCTTTGTCAGGGTATGTTTGGTCTTTGGCACTTTCGCCTATGTATACATTTTAAACTTTTTTCCCTTGATGCACTCTGTAGCTACATTCAGTTGGTCATTTGTCCCCAGTTGTCCACTCTCACTTCTGGTGAAAGTGTATTTTCTTGCTGCTATCTCCCACCCAAATGCTACCCTTCTCTTTTTTGGCAAAATCTAAAAACTAATATGAACCTCTTTTCCCAGCGTCTCCAAAAAACTGAACAACTGCCACCCTTCTACTTTTTTCTTCTCTTTGTACATAGCTTAGTTGTACTACTGATCACCTTGTATCATGATTATTTAATTCATGTCTGTATTTTCTATTAGATTTCAAGGGAGGCAGACATAGATGGGTTTGTGTTTATCTCTCTGTTTTTGATCCCCAGAATAATCCCTGGCACATAATGGGTGCTCAAGAAAGGTATTAAATTGTTGAATTTGGCAATTTTATTCTTTTTAAAGTAGCCTATGTGGTCATTTCTCACTTAGCACAGAGACAACCATCAAGATGTAGGAAATTTTGTCATCAGAAAATGTAAGAGTTTGCTTGTCTGCTGGGTAATTTTTTTTTAAATAAGCAAACCAGTGATGTGACATTGTGGATGAGATACGAGACAAATTCACACTGACTACCAAGTCCTGTGGAGGAAAAGGGATGATGCGGCCACTTTCTCAAGGGGAGAGTGCCTCAGAGTGGCCTAGCCACTCTCTCAAGAGGAGCACCTCGACCCTTACCTTGACAAGCTTTCATTGCTTTTCTGGGCACATCACAAGAAGGTCCTCATTACTATGCACAGGTTCACTTTAGGTGGTTACCTTTTACAGAAAACAAAGGAGAGGATGCTGCTAATCACATCACAGAAGGATATTTGCAAATGCAAAGGGAAAAGTGGTTGAACTGGTTACACTCATCCTTGGAAGGTTTAGCATAGCTTTTAGGAAGTTACTTTAAAGATATGCAGTAAACGTTTGCTGCCTCAATTCAGGGTGAGGGAGTTTTAGCAAAAGCAAGTCTCAAAGTGGCCTAGGTACAATGTAGGCCTGATTGC